AATGCGGGTAGAAGACATGAGACTCCTGGGTCAGAGACTGATAGTTTGTTACTCAAGGTAACAGTAGCAGTAAGAATATTAGCACTTTGTGCTGGTTCCCAAGCCACAATTTCCGTAAGAAAACATGAAGAGAGCTAAATGAACCCTGCACACACAGTGTAAAGAAGAGGAACCTTGAACTTAGGGAACCCACAACTCTCATAATGGACAGTAAGCATCCTTTGTTCCTAGGAAGACGTCTATTTGAAAAGGGCATTCAGTGCCTCAATATGCAAGAAGGGCAGAAAGGTGAGATAAATATCTCCCTGCATATACCCTTATTTCTACATCATCTTGTTTTCTGGCAAGTTTACCTGAATACGTCACTCCACTGGTCACTGTGAATAATCCAGCTGATGCAAGCAGAGATCAAATAGCACCAGAAAAAAGCCAACCTTGCAGTCCTGATCTTATCCATGTCCCCCAAGGTCCTAGGCCTAACCAGCTGAAAAAATACCATAAAGCACCAAGGTCTACTTAAAATTCAATGGCTTTCCACTTAAGTTTCTGTATTGACCTTTACACTTGGCATTAAACCAGGTACAAGTGGATACATTAAAAATGTGCAGATTCTTCTTTGGCTCACGAAGGAAGTCTAGAGCAATTCTGTCACCTAACTTGGCCAATGAGTTGAAGGTAACTAGAGTGTCTTCCAGTGTTAAGGCACACGGTATCACTGATCACTTCTTTTTGGGAAACTCCACTGAATCAGCAAAGGTAGCTCCTATTAATAGAAATCTCCACGTTCATATAAGGACCACAGGATCAACTGGTAGTGTTTCCTTAAATAAAAGGCTCCTTATGACTACCCCTAATGTGTAAGTTTTGGGAAGGGAAGCAAGTTAATGCCTGGCCTTCATACAGGAAGTATAACACCAGGGGTTGATACTCATGGCCTCTGCAAAGAAAGTGTTTACAATTGTTGGGCCACCCAAAGAGATCTTCATCAGCAGTGGTGGTGAGGCGGGGACCAGGTGAAAGCAGAAGTTGATGGTGCCCTCGGGTGGCTTCCCAGATGGATGATAAACCTTAGGGGTCTCAGTTCAAGTCAAATGGCTGAGTCTACTCCTGGTTTTAGGAAAGACTGACCTACTTATCTCTGGTAGCAGATGGGTGACATTTATCTGCTCCTTGGAATGGCTGAGGGAGGCTGAGGGATAGACATAAAGAGCTACTGACAGGTATTTTGCTTGGGAGGTGCAAAACCTCTTATTATCCCTTTCGTTTCCAATAGGTTTCTCAATAAGGCTAAAGGGAATGGCCATCAAATCGTGACAGCGCTCCCTGGAGGTAGATGACAGACGCAGCAGTCAATTAAACATAAAGTGTGCAACGGTTCATAGATCTTCAGGAGGAAAGCTCTAGGGAAAATTCACTGAAAAATAAAGATTAACATTCTCCCTCCCCTGTGTCTCTGGGGAATGAGGTATTTTTCTGTTTGCAGGTGCTAAGGTTGTTACCCTTCCACTGCTACCAAATCCATGTGTCCCAGCCCAGCAGCTATAACTTCACCACTTTCCAGTCAGTGACTAAATGCACGCAAAGCTTTGGTCTAGAAGGGTCAAGTGACAAGAAGGACAAGAGCACTGCTGTAAAACTTGCAGAGATGGGCTATAGGAATGACGTCTGCAAGATGGCTGAATAAAGGACATCCTTCAAATGCATCTCCCCTCATCAACAGCAATAATTTGGCATCCGACCATGGAAAAAGCACCTTCATGGGAACTTCGGGATGCTATCTGGTGCACTCTCCAACTCAGGAAAGACATTCTGAGAAGGCAGGCTCACACCCAGGCAGCTCACTCACTGACTGTGGTCTTAGCCACAGGCCCAGAAACAGCTCTGTGCCCTGAAAATTCTGCTACGGTCCCAATGGCTTTGGTTCTGCCACCAACAAAATGCGCCAAGGAGGAGTACCCTGGAGTCACACGTACCCGTCCGTCAGCTAACAGGCACGCAAACCTCAGTCCCACTTGTGTGGATCTGAAATAGCTCTTCAACAGGCTTCAGCCCCTCTCTGCTGAGGTCTGGGACCCACTGGAGGTAAGCCAACAGATTCTGTCGAATTCTGAAAGGGCACGGTAACTGGTCTCCAACCCATCCTGGCCAGTCCCCAAACATTCGTGCTGGCACAGAGACCCAGCAGGAGACTGAGGCTGCACCCCTAAAGATTCTGAAGGGTCCTATAGGTGGCTTTATCCCTATCACAGAAGTAGTCTACCGGCAGACCAGCCAGTCTCAGGGACCCAGCAGGAGACGTCTGACAATGCTCCCAGAGATCCTGAAAAGGCCTAGACTCAGCTCCAGCCCTTCCCAGCCAGTCCGTGAGCAGTAACCCACCTGCACCCCCGAGATCCTGAAAGCGTCCTAAACTAGGTTCGATTCCCTCCAAGCTGCAGTCACAAGCAGTCCTGCCGACATAGGGACCCAGTGGGGGGACACTCACCTCTGTGCCTCAGGAGACCCTGAAACGGTCCTAAACTCGGCCCCAGTTCCTCCAGCCAAAGTCAGGGAGTAGTCCAACCCACCCGAGGGACCTGGTGGCACGAATGCCCATCCGTGCCTCCGACGCCAAGTACGCAGACTTCAGTCGCAGCCAGGAAACCGGAAATAGCCCTGGGGCTTGGTTCTAGCCCCTCTCAGCCACGGCCCCGGGCCTACCCTGCCCATCCAGGGACCCACCAGTGACCAGGGGCTGGTCCCCTCCTGGGACCTGGCAGGAGGTGCACCCATCCACACCCCTGGTGAGAGGACAGCTGACTACGGACGCAGCCACGGAGCCTGAAGTGGACCTTGTCCCAGCACTACCCTACTGAACAAGGGACTGGAGACAGTCCCAGACACCTGAGGACCAACCAACCTGCCAACCGTGGACCCCGCTGCAGACCCATCGCCGCGCATAACCCGCTCTGACCCAGCACGAATGTGATTCCAGAGGTAATCCCATCCGTTAACCCAGACGACAGAGAGGAGGCCGTTAACTGCTGAAAATGGTCTTTAAAGACTGGAAGAGGTATTAGCTCCTTCAAATGCACAGACATCAATGCAAGGCTACACAGACCACAAAGAATTAGGTAAGTCTAACACTACCAAAGGCAACAAACAGTGTCTAATCCCATAGAAAGATATATCTAAAATTTGCCTGACAAAGGATCAAAATAATCATCTTACAGAAGCTTAATGAAATGAAAGAGAACACAGACAACGGAACAAAACTAGGAAAAGAACACACAAACGAAAGGACAATAAAGAAACAGAACTTAGAACCAAGCAGCGACCCTGGAGCCGAAGAATACAATCACACAACTGAAAAATGCAACAGAGAGCTTTACCACACAGACTTCTGCATCCGCCACACCCATGCCTTCTGCCTCTGAAGTCCGCCTGAAATCAAGTCCTACGCAAGACCAGTCACAAGGGTTTGCTGGGTCAGAAGGAAAACATTCTGCAGTCCAAACGCCGAGTACTCCAGGAGCTACACTAAATAATGTCCCACTTTCCCTAGGGTAAGTACCAATATCCTGAGGCGTTTCCACACACACACACACGCCTAATTCTTCTCTCATTTACCCTGCAGAAGAGCTTGGGGTTGTCTCTCTCCCCCTCGCTCTCTGCCCCTCCCCCACTCTGTCTCTCTCAAAACATATAAACTTAAAAAAATTATTTTAGAAAAAAGATTTAAATATTTATGCACTACAAGGAAAAAGAGGAAGCTGGGAAGTAATTGCGGAATGTTAAGGTATGCAATCGCATCTGTGGCTCTTGTCAATTTCTGCTCACATTCTAAGACGTTCCGGGCCCACAGGACACTGTTTTGTGATAAATAAGATAAGCACTGTTCTATGTCTCATTATAGATAGCTTTGATGAATGTAAAATGCTAACAATAACAGTAATGAAAGTAGCTAACACTTACTGAGTACTGACCACGTAGCTACTGGCACTACTCATCTCTGTACTGGGTTAACTCATTCAGTCCTCACATCAGCCTCATGAGAAAGAAATATGACTACCACCCCAATTTTATAGATTAGGAAACCAATTCGCAAGCAAAAGAGCAATAATTCAAACCAAGGCCTACGCATTTCCGCTTTTCCACATAACATCAAACAGCCCTCGTATATCGTTTAAGGTTTTCTCCCTTAATATAATGTTGGTACCTTAATTTCTCACATTCCCCCCAAAAGCCTGTCTTTTCTTTGTTAATGTGTCTAAGTGATCTTAAATTATGTAGCCAGCATCATCTCCTCTGTAAAGCCTTATCTCTCTCCTCCCACATGAATTCCTCTCTTTTCAATACTCTGGAAAACATACTTCTATAACATCTATTATAACTTTTCTTTACGGCTGTTATATTTTCTTCAACACTGTGAATCTGACAAGTTCAATAATAATGTCTCATCAGCTCTGCAGCTACTGGTAGTAGTCGAAAAATAACCAGCAGACACAAAATGGCTATTGAATTAAAATCATACACACCGGGGCGCCTGGGTGGCTCAGTCGGTTAAGCGTCTGACTTCGGCTCAGGTCATGATCTCCCGGTTCGTGAGTTCCAGCCCCGCATCGGGCTCTGTGCTGACAGCTCGGAGCCTGGAGCCCGCTTCGGATTCTGTGTCTCCCTCTCTCTCTACCCCTCCCCTGCTCATGCTCTGTGTCTCTCAGTGTCTCAATAATAAATAAACGTAAAAAAAAAAGTCAATTATAAAAACCAAAGAAAATCCTGAACATAAAATTTCTGATGTGACCTCTGCTGGCCACTACACAGTAGTATTACAGCTGTACGGATACTTTTATACTACCCGTTTTTAACAGGGTTTATCATGATGCCCCATATTATGGCCATCTTTATTTCCCTTACTCCATTAGCACCTCTGCTAAACTGGTCTACTTTAAGGTAAGCACATTAGTTAGGATTTTAAGCTGAATGTTGCAGGAAACACTAGTCAATGGCTTTTCCCTTACCGTTTGCCTCGTGGATAATGCCGCACATATTCTCCAACATCATGAGCAGCAACAGCTAAGACTTGTGGGTCATCGGACACCTCCAGAAGTTTTGTCAAAATTCTGAAATACATGTAATCCAAAGAGAGATTGACTTCTAGCTGTTCCATACAGCACAACAGAGCACAGGTATAATGCAAGTATCTCCTGAAAACAGGCATTTATAAATATAGTCGTATTTTCTACAGATCTTACTATTATGCACAATGCACTACACATAATAAATCACACGTAAGTTTGTGGTTTCAGCTTTTATACATATGTAACAGGTTACTTTCAGATTCACGATGTCTACCTCACCCAATTCCTAAAATACCAGGAACTCCCTCCTCTGCTCTCTCAAGACAGACAACTACACTGAGTTAATGGTGAGTTAATACACGACAACCACTGAATCCTTGACAACTATATTTTGAAAGTTAAACATCTGTAAGCCTTTCGTCGGTATGAAGAAGTTACTCGAAGCTGCGATCAAGACGGAACGTGCACCCTGAGCACACACATCCCCTCTCTCCCTCTCTCTCCAAGTCTCACGAAGGACCTGAACCTGAACTTCACAGGTAAGACTAAATGCAAAATAGCAAGCGAACGTCTTCGGAGAAGACGGCAGCCCAGATTCACACCCCCGGCTCCCTTGCCGTCCTACTTTCTCCACAGCAACCACACGGGCAGAGTGTCACCACTGCCAGAGCCCGACAGTGCTTGTGACAACGGGAGCCAACCAGACACACAGAAGGCTCCCCTCTGCCGGGAGCTGGAGCAGATTTCTGCCTCCTCGAGGACCTGCAGGGAGAGGACTCATCGCCCCTAGGGGGCGCATGTGTCCTCTGCCATGAAGGGAGGGGGGTGCACCCCCCCAGAATCCAATCCCCTGGGAGAGACCTCCTTCATCTACTTCAGAGCAAACGTGAGGGGAGACCATTCAAGGAACAGGTGACTCGTGTTACTGACATTGCTCAAGGGCACAGAAATAGGAAGAAAACTTCTCAACTCATTCCACAAACAGAGCATAACTGGGACAACCAATTGGAATGAGTACTTTTCTTTAAAGTTTTATTTATTTATTTTGAGAGAGAGAGAGAGAGAGAGAGAGAGAGCGCACGCCACCGAACTGTGAGATCAAAACCTGAGCCTAAATCAAAGTCAGACGCACAAACGGCTGAGCCGTACATGAAGCACTCTTAAAATTCAACAATAATAAAAACAACTCAATTTAAAAATGGTTAAAAGACCTGAACAGACCTCTCACCAAAGAAAACGGCTGGCGAATAAGCAAACGAAAAGATGACCAACATCACGCCTCACTGGACAACAAGGAGGTAACACCATCCACCTTCGTTGCAAAAATGGCAAAACCCTGAACACTGGCACCACCAGATGCCGGCAAGGACGTACAGCAACAGGTATGCTGATTCACCGCTCACAGGGATGCCGAAAAGTCCAGCCACCCTGCAAGGCAGTTTGGCACTTTCTTATAAAACCAAACCTGAGTCTTACCATGCCATCCATACTCCCTTCAGATTCACCCCAGTGAGTTGAAAGCTTATGTCCACATAAGATCCTGCACGTGGACCTTTAGAGCAACTTTATCTAACAGTGATTGCCAAAACCGTGAAGCAACCAAGACGTCCTTCGAGGCAGAAACCATGGTACAGCCGTACAATGGGACAGTCAGCAATAAAAAGAAAAGAAAAAATAAAAAGCAATGAGCTACCGAGCCACAAAAAAAGATGAAGGAACTCTCAATGTGCATGGCTAAGGGAAAGAAGCCGGTCTGAAAAGGTTATATACTATCTAATTCCAACTCCAGGACATTGTGGAAAAGGAGAAACTACAGGATAGAAATAAGACCAGTGGTTGCCAGAGGTTCAGGGAGAGGGAGGAAGAGCAGAGCGAGTAGCTGGAACATGGGAAATTTTTAGGGCAGTGAAACTATTCTAGGTGACACGGTAATAGGGGACATGTGGTATCAGTCAAAACCTACAGAGCATATAACACAGAGTGAACTAGACAACAGAAAAAGTGAGCCCTAATGTAAGTTACAGACTTCAGTTAAAAATAATGCATAAATATTGGTTCATCAGTTATAACAAACGTACCACACTAACGCAAGATGTTAATAATAGGGGAAGAGAGAATATATGAAAACTCTCTGTACATTCCCCTCAATCTTTCTGTAAACCTAACATTATTCTAAAAATTTAAATCTATTCATTTTAAAAGTTACAGTATGGGGTGTGTGTGTGTGTGTGTGTGTGTGTGTGTGTGTGTGTAGGGGAGAGAGAGGAATTCTTGCATTGTTTCTAACAGCAAAATCTGGCAATAGTATTAAATATCCATCAATGGCAGACTGATTAAACACGATACAGAAAAAAAGAAGGCAAAAGACTCACATTTCTGAATTTCAAAACACACTGCAAAGTAAAAGTAATCAAGACAGTAGGATACTGGTATCAGAATAGTCATGTAGATCAACAGAACAAAAACGAACGTCCAAAAATAAACCCACGTGTCCACAGGTCAACTGAATTTCAATAAGGGATACCATGACAATGCAATGGGGAAAAATAGTCTTTTCAACAAATGTTACTGGGATAACTGGATAGCTACATGCAAAAGAATGAAGTTGGACCCTTACCTCACATCATGTACAATAAAATTCAAAAGGATCAAAGACTTAGATGTGGGGTGCCTGGGTGGCTCAGTCAGTTAAGCATCCGACCTCGGCTCAGATCATGATCTCACGGTTTGTGAGTTCGAGCCCTGCATCGGGCTCTGTGCTGATAGCTCGGAGCCTGGAGCCTGCTTCGGATTCCGGGTCTCCCTCTCTCTCTGCCCCTCCCACACTCACATTCTGTCTCTCTCTCTCTCTCTCAAAAATAAACATAAAAAAAAATTTTTTTTAAGACTTAAATGTACATGCTAAAAGTATAAAAATATTACAGAATACAGAGGAGTAAATCTTCAAAACCTTGGTTTTGGCAATGGATTCTTCAGTAGGACACCAAGAGCATGAGAAACAAACAAAAAAAAATAAACTGGACTTCATCAAAATTTTTAAATGTGCTTCCAAGGACTCTATCAAGAAAGTGATAAGATAACCCAAAAAATGGGGCACCTGGGTGCCTTAGTATGTTGAGCATCTGACTCTTGATTTCAGCTCAGGTCATGATGCGAGGGTCGTGGGTTCGAGCCCCATGTTGGGCTCTGTGCTGACAGCTCAGGGCCTGGAGCCTGCTTCAGATTTTGTGTCTCCCTTTCTCTCTGCCCCTCCCCCAACTTGTGCTCTGTCTCTCTCTCTCTCTCTCTCTCTCAAAAATAAATAAACATTTAAAAAATTTTTATTAAAAATGGTGTTGGTTCAATTAGACATCTACATAATGAAAATAACTGTATCTTGACCCCTACTTTGTACCTTACCCAAAACCAATTCTGGATGGAATAGAGATCTAGTTGTGAAAGGTTCAAACAGTAAATCTTCCAGCAGATGACCTGGAAATACATCTTCATGACCCCATATGGGGAAAAACGTCTTAACCAGGACACTAAAAAAAAATACTAGCCATAAAGGAAAAAATTAATCAATGGAGCCACACTAAAACCAAAGAGTGAAATGGTATGTGAAAGAGTAGAAGAAAACAATTGAGATGAACAGATATAAGACCTCTTGTTCAGAATACATACAGATCTCCTATTAAAAAAAATTTTGTAAATCCCTGAACAACCAATTCTGGAAAAATAGATATCCAAATGACTGATCAGCAGATGAAAAGGTATTCAACCACATAAGGAAGGAAGAAAATACAAATTAAAATCATGAAATAACTGAAATTTTTTACTATTTTTTGAAATTTATTATCACTAGTGACAAAAGTACATTGGCAAGGAGGTGGAACAACAGGTATTAAGAGTGTGAAGTGAAATTTAAAACTTACTTTAAGAGCTCATAATTCTTCTCATTTAATCTCACAGCATTTTCTCTCCAAAATTTCTCAGATTTGTGCACAGGACTCCACTCCAGTCTTCCAGATTTAAGCTCTGAGCTATATTCATCAAATGAGCTACAAAAAAATTTTAAGGATCTCAAAGTTAAGAAAAATCTAAGAGTTGCTCCAAAATTAAGCAAAACATTTTTACCATGTTAATTATACCTCAATAGAAGAAAAACAAAAATTCTTCACTGATGATTTAACTGCAAAGACGGACCATCCTTTGTACATTAACAAACTACCACTAAATGAGGTTTAAACAGCTTAAATAATCTTTAATAAACCATGTGAAATTTATTCAAGGTCCTAAGGTCCAATACTCCTGCCAAATTGGAGTGCTCAAAATGAGGTTTACTGAAAGGAGCATTTGCTTTCAAAATCTTTGTCCTAATAAATAAAGTATAATCAGTATAATATCTGATAATGTAGCAGAGTTTCCACCATCCCACTTAAAATACCGTATTTGCCAGACCACTAGATGCGTTAATGTGAATCTATATAAAAGTATGTTACTTAAATAGCATATTCCAATACTATAAATGTCATAAACCACTATACTGTATTATGCAATGAAAAATACACATACGGGTATAATATTGCACAACGTGATTACAAACACTGTAAAGGTAATTCACTAAGTAAGTTAACATTACAAATCAAAAACAAAAACCTCTGCATAAAACAAACTGCAATGCAATGCAATTAAAAAAATCATTCACTATGTATCAAGTAACTTAATTATTCAAAGCTTCATTCTATAAAAAGTGTTTAGTGTTGTCGGCCAATGGTTGGCTGGGCATCCTTCTAAGTGAAAAGTGAAAACTTAAAAGGACATGGCTGGACATCGTTCCAAGTGAAAAGTTGAAAAAGATTTAGCCATTTAAATACTGACTGGTAATTCAATATAACCGGAATTTTACCGGTTAAGTTGAATAGAGTGTTCTATTAAATAAAGTACTAATTTACTTTAACGTAAGGCCAATCGGTGTAAGAAATAAACTAATGCTGTTTAACATGAATAGCCTAAACCTTTAACAGCAAAAACAGAGACAAAGCTCTTTTACCTATACCCATCACCTGACTGGCTTTAACGTGAAGAGCAGGATTTTTCAAATTACCAAACTCAACATGAAGAATCAATACATAATAATAATTGGCTAACATGGATTAAATAATTTAGAAAGCTAAGTATTGCGAATCTTGTTCATTTTTAAGAGATCTCAAATCATTATTACAGAAGAACTGATAACAGATTTATAAAAATGAACTTAATAAAATTTGTAAAAACTTCAAGTCTACTGCTGGCCAGGCTAGTTCATTACAATCCAGTTACTCACATTTGAAATTACAGAAAGACAAAACTCATTTGCCTCCCTCTACAACGCCCATGATAGACCACTGGTCTCGGTGACACATCCCATCTCTACAGCAGCACTTGGGCCTTGGGATTAAGAGCTGCACTGAATTATCTGGTAAATACATTTCTGGAACACATACTACACCGAAGGCATTTGCTGGATAGTTGAAACCTCACAACAAATCCTACCAGGTTAGAATTTTTATTGCTATTTTACCAAAAGGAAAACTGAGGCTTTACAAAGTCAAGAAGCTTGTCAAGGCCAAGTGTGGACAAAGTGGCCAGACAATTCAAACTGGGTTCAGCCTGGCTCCCAAACCCAAACCACCTACACAGAAAGATCTACTTCTACACAGTAATTCCCTTTTAAAAATGTATCGGTAGTTTAAAAACAAAGGATATATATGTTAATGGGAAAGATCAATACATTATTAAACAAAAATGAACAGTTCCAGAAGAATATGCAGAACCCCACTTGTATATGCGTTTGTGTGTGTGCATGCACACACGTGTCAGGGGAGCAGGGCTAGGAAGGTTTTTCTGGAAGCAAACACAAAAGTGGGGGCGGGGATGACTAGGTGGAAGAGGTATGGAGTCCCTTCTAGAACTATGTAAGGATTCTTTTTTCTCTTACTGCATCGTACATCATTTGTGTAATTTTAATATCAAAAATAAAGAACACAATAGGAACTTCAAAAAAGCAGGGAAAAAAATACTCTTTCCGTTTACTGCCAAACATCCTTCAAAAATTAACGAGTACTGTTTAAAAAGATTCTAAACCAGGGGGACATTCTTAAGGGGTTCCAGAGTGACACCAACATCCTGTGGGATTAAGTCAGATTTCACACAAGAGAAGGGTGGGAACCTCCCCAAAAGAGAAGACGTAACACAAAGCTCTAACCAACTGTTACCATGGTGATGAGCCAGTTGGCCCCCACCCCCCATATCCCCAATTCTTAACAGAAGACATAATGCTTCAGTGAAATCTTTTGAGTTTATAGTTAGTAACAAATTTAGACTTTCTGAAAATACTAGGAAAGTCCAACAAGGCCCAATATATCCAGCCTGTGAGAATTTTTTGAAATAACATACCTAAGGTCTTGGACACTCTCACCAAGTTTTTCCAAAAGAAATTTTATATCTTCACTGATATCTTCATCGTCGTACTTCTGCTGTTCCAAGTTCTCCAACTGTTTCAGAACTTTGCACTGGATCATGGCCAGGGCATATTCTTGGCGAGTTTCTCTTTCGGTCGATTTCTCCAAAAAGTTCTGAGTTAGACAAACACGTGAGAAAACCGTGTAATTTCTTTATGTGATATTCTTAGACCCCTGCACTACCTCCTGCGCCCTCTCTCCTCCTCTGTTCTCAGGTTAAGCGAAGACTATATCACAAATCCTTATCTCTTTCCTGAGCACCTGTCCCATATCAAAAGCGTATTTCTTATTCCTCGCTTGCTTACTTACGGGCTTAACCACACATTTAAAATCATTGAACCAGACGGGCCTCAAAACACTGGACGTGTTTACAATTAAGCCCATCAGATCCTTTCTTATAGCCCTGCTTCTGAGCATACCCAGTGAACTTCTCATCTGTTAGCCACCTAGTACTTGGGATGCTAAGGAAGAATACTTCTTCAAGTATCTCTAGAGTTTCTCAGTCAGTCACCCTTTCCCCTCTCATCACCCTGCAAATGCACAAAGGACATTGCCTGAACAATTATCAAAAAAGTTTTGTGACATTCTGGCAAATTCCCTAGTTTTCTTCTGTAATTTTCCTACTTTAGAAGAATACTTATGAAAAGAGCAAAGGAATCCTAAATATACTGGACCCTTAATACGGATTTGAACTGTGCAGGTTCACTCTTCTGCAGATTTTTTTTTTTTTGATAATTATAGTACAGTACTGGAAATGCATTTTTATTCCTTATGATTTTCTTAAAAAATTTTTTTCTAGGGGCGCCTGGGTGGCGCAGTCAGTTAAGCGTCCGACTTCAACCAGGTCACGATCTCGCGGTCCGTGAGTTCGAGCCCCACATCAGGCTCTGGGCTGATGGCTCGGAGCCTGGAGCCTGTTTCCAATTCTGTGTCTCCCTCTCTCTCTGCCCCTCCCCCGTTCATGCTCTGTCCCTCTCTGTCCCAAAAATAAATAAACGTTGAAAAAAAAAATTAAAAAAAAAATTTTTTTTCTAGCTTACTTTATTGTAAGAACACAGCATAAGATACATGACATACAAAATATGTGTTAATCGTCTGTTTATCAGTAAGGCTTCTAGTCAACAGTATGCTATTCATAATTAAGTTTTGGGGGAGTCCAAAGATATACATGGATTTCCGACAGCACAGGTGGTCAGCTCCCCTAACCCCTACACTGTTCAACTCTATTTATAAAAATAAACTTTGTTGAATGAACCAGTATTTCTAAGCAAAGACTATGCTCAGGCTTAGGGACAAAAACAGACAAGCTCTCAAGAAAGCTACCTTCACCAAGATGGTAAAGGCGGCCTGTCAAATGCCTCCCCTCCACACACACACACACAAATCCTGTAATGACAATTCCAAGTCAACTGTACCAAAATATGAAATTTTTAAATTTATTTTTGCAAGCAAATTATATTCCTAGTAATTATGCTAAACAAACACATTAAGAGAGTTAGCTCAGCATATGTAAATTAGAGATCGATCCCTATCAAAATTCCAATGGAATTCCAAAATTCCATTTTTCACAGAAGTAGAAAAAAACAATCCTAAACTTTGTATGGAACCATAAAAGACCCTGAGTAGCCAAAGGAATCCTGAGAAAGAAGAATAAAGCTGGAAGAAGAACAAACACATTTCCTGGCTTAACTACACTACAAAGCTTTATTAATCAAAACAGTATGGCACTGGCATAAAACAGACACACAGATCAATGGAACAAAATAGAGAGCCCAGATATAAAACCCCACATATACAATCAACTAATATTTGACAAAGGAGCCAAGAATACTCAATGGAGGGGCTGTCTGGGTGGCTCAGTCGGCTAAGTGTCCAACTCTTGATTTCAGCCCAGGTCATAATCTCACAGGTCATGAGATCAAGCCCCGCATGGGGCTCCTCACTGACAGTGCTGGAGCCTGCTTAGAATTCTCTCTCCCCCTCTCTCTCTGCCCCTCCCCTGCTCATGCACATGTGCGCTCTTTCTCTCCCTCGCTTGCTCTCTACCTCTTTCTCTCTCTCTCAAAAATATGTACATACATAAAAGAGTACTCAATACAGAAAGGATAGTCTTTTCAATATATGATGTTAGGAAAACTATAATCACATTCAGAAAAATGAAACTGGAGCCCTATCTTACACCACTCACAAAAATTAGCTCAAAATGGATTAAAGACTTACACATACTGAAGCTGTCGACCTCCTAAAAAAAAAAAAAAAAAAAGGGAAAAAGTTCCCTGACCTTGATCTTGGCAATGATCTTTTGTATATGACGCCAAAGTACAGGGAAGAAAAGCAAAAGCTAGCAAGTGGGGTGACATCAAACTAAAAAGCTTCTGCACAGCAAAAATAACTAAAATAAAATAAGATAAATAAAATAAAATAAAATAAATTAAAAAATGAAAGGTATCGTGGTGGATGAAAGAAAATATTTGCAAAGCACGTTATCTGATAAGGGGTTAACATCCAAAATATATGAAGAGCTCATACAACTCCATAACAACCACAAGAAAATGATTTAAAAATGGGCAGAGAATCTGAATTGACATTCTTCCAAAGACGTACAAACGACTAACAGGTACATAAAAATATCACGACTCATCAGAGAAATACAAATCAAAACCACAATGGAATATCACCTCAAAAAACAAAAGATAACAAGTGGTTTCAAGGTTATGGAGAAAAGTGCACACTTGTTCACTACTGATGAGAACATAAATGGGTGCAGTCAGTATGGAAAACACTATGAAGGTTCCTCAAAAAATTAAAAATAGAACTGCCATATGATTCAGCCATTCCACTTCTAGGTATTTATCCAGAGGAAATGAAAACAGTATCAATGAGATTATCTGCACTCCCATATTTATTGCAGCATTATTCACAACAGCCAAGACACGGGAATAATCTAAGTGTCCAACAAAGGATGAATGGATAAGGAAAATGGGGCATAGGGGTGCCTGGGCGGCTCAGTCAGTTAGGCGACCAACTCCGGCTCAGGTCATGATCTCATGCCTCAGGAGTTCGAGCCCTGCGTTGGGTTCTGTGTTGACAGCTCAGAGCCTGGAGCCTGCTTTGGATTCTGTGTCTCCCTCTCTCTCTGCCCCTCCCCCATGTGCGCTCGCGCTCTCTCTCTCTCTCTCTCTCTCAAAAATAAATACACATTAAAAATATTTTTTAAAAAAAGGAAGAAAATGGGAGTATATATACACAATGGAATATTATTCAGCCATTTAAAAAAAGGAAATCTTGCCATTTATGACAACACAGATAGACTTTCAGGGCATTATGCTAAGTGAAATGGTAGAGAAAAACAAATGCTGTATGAACGCATTTATATGTGGAGCCTTTAAAAAACTGAAATTAAAAAAAAACACACTCATAAATATAGAGAACAGACTGGTGGTTGCCAGATGCAGTGGATGAGAGGTGGGCAAAATGGGTGAAGGGGACCAAAAGGTACAAGTTTCCAGCTGTAAAATAAGGGAGTCCTAGGGATACAATGTACAGCATGATGACTACAGTTAATAGCACTATATGTATATCTGAAAGGTGCTAAGAAAGTAGATCTTACAAGGTGTACTCACAAGACAAAATTTGTAGCTATGTGTGGTGATGGATGTTAATTAGACATACTGGGGTGATTATTTCACAATATATACAAATATCAAAGTGTTATGCTGTATACCTGAAACTAACAAAACGTCGTATGTCAATTATATCTCAATTTTTTTAATAAAGGTAAACAACCAATTTTCAGATACTGAAATTAATTGGTCACCACCAGACCTGTGGTAGAAGGCATGTGAAAGCATGGGTGGGCAAACTTTCTAAAATGGGCCAAATAATGAATACTTTAGGCTTTGAGGGTTCCATCATAGCTATTCAATTCTGCCATTATAATGCAAAAGCTGGCATACAAAATACAGAAGAAAAAAAAAAAAAGCACAGAAGTGTTCCAATAAAGCTTTATTTACAAAAACTGATGGTGGGCCAGAACTGGCCCACGAGCTACTACAGACTGATGAGCCCTGAGCTAAAGGGAATTCTGCGGGTGACAGAAGTGAGACTGCCAAATGGAAAGCTGAACCTTCAGGACACAAGGAAACACAACAGATATGGTAAATAGTTGAATGAATACAAAAGACTATTTTTCCCTCTTCACTTCTGTAATACAAATAAGACTGTTTAAAGGAAAAGTTAAAGACTGTAATACAGGTTTTTTTTTTACCTATGTAAATATATTTATATGTCAACTATAGAATAAAAAAGAGAGAATAGACCTGTATGATTTCAAGTTCTTACATTTTACATAAAAGAGTACAATGTTAACTTTAATGGGAAAAGTTAAGGATGCATATACTGTGCTACCAAAACAAGCTCTAAGAAATAAACACTACAGGGGCACCTGGGTGGCTCGGTCAGTTAAGGGTCCGACTTCAGCTCAGGTCATGATCTCACAGTTTGTGGGTTCGAGCCCCGTGTCAGGCTCTGTGCTGACAGCTCAGAGCCCGGAGCCTGCTTCAGATTCTGTGTCTCCCTCTCTCTCTGACCCTCCCCTACTTGCGCACGCTCTCTCTCTGTCTCTCTCTCTCTCAAAAATAAAAATATTTTAAAATTTTTTAATAAAAAAATTTAATTAAAAAAAGGAAACACTACAAAGAACATTTAAAGGTCAACAGAAAAATTAAAATGAAATTCTAAAAGGGATTCAGTTACCTCAAGAGAAGGCAAGAATGAAAGAAAGAAGAACAAAAAACAGATTAAGACCAACAGAAATAGTACAATGATAGGCCTAAATTCAACTGTACCAATAATTATTTTAAATGCCAGTGAACTGAATGCTCCAGTTAAGAGGCAGAGGATTTGGGGATTAAAATTCAAGACTCAAGTATATGTGGTCTAAAAGAGACAAACTTTAAATATAAGACGTAGACAGGTTGAAATCAAAAGATGGAAAACCATAAGCATAAGAAAGCTGGCACGTCAAAAAGAAAGAAAAGAAACTGAAAGAAAAGACAAGAAAGCTGGCCTGTCTCTATTAATTCCAAATCAAGTAGTTATCAAGAGAAAAAGCA